TGTTAAGGGTCCTTTGTTTGTTGGGGCCTTTCTTAAGTACTGATGGCAGCAGCGATTTATCACACCAGTTGGCAAGCTTTCAAGCTGCGACTCTAAGCGTGTAGAGCTTGACTCCAACTTGTCACGTCTATTATACTGGGGAATACGGGGATATGCCGTGAGGATGGACTCTCCAATGTCGACTTAACTCTCTCTTCGCTCCTCCATGCACTGGTCAAGCCTGTTAGCCACCTGGTGCTGGGAGTGGGCGTAGTGCCTGGAGCAGCCTTCTCCTGGGCATGCCACCAAAGAAGGAAGAACCATTGCGGTAACCAACAGCAACTACATGCCAATGAGTGGCCGTAGATGCGGATTTGAAACCAACGTGGTCAAATTCGGAAGGGGTCATTGAGTCTGAGTCCCGCCAGTTTGTAGTCTTCCCAGTCCCGACTTTTAGCGTTTCTTGAAGGATGTAAGCGCGTCCAATTTGTCCGTGGTGAGGAAGTGCCGTGGGCATGACTCCCAGCGATTCGACCTCACGCCCTCTCCCCCCCCCACCTCCCAATCTGCACCAGAGCACTGCCAAAGCCTGTCAGTTAGCTGGCACTGGGAGTGAACTTAGTGACTAGCTGGGTGTGAATCCTACTCCCGGACATACTACCGTACCTATCTGTGCGACAAGAAGTGTGGACTCGCGTGGGCTCTTATTGACCAACCGGTTGAAAGATAGAGTTGGACAAATTGGGGGTAAGGTCGGGCGCAATAGCTAACAAAAATATCTACCCCATCTACGCGGGCCACACATAACCTGGTTCACGCATGATGGGCCATTTTTTCACAGAAACACGGTAGGAAGCAGCTCGGATCCCATCTGAGTAGGGATGCCATAGAAACCACATCAAGAAAGACCAATCGCAGCTTGGCTCTCGACTCCGAGGGAGCTAAGTTGTCCTGTCAGTTGGCAGCTATCCAAGTCACAGGTTTTAGCGCGTCGTGATTGTTTCAGACCCCGTCAGTTTATTTATACTGAGGAATATGCTGAGATATCGTGGAGATGGAATTCTCAGAGTCGACCTTACTCCTTCACTCTTCCCTCTTCCATGCCCCAGTTGACTGTCTGATCCTCTCAATCAACTGGGAATTAGATTGGGTGCAGTGGCTGGCTCAGTACTGAAACCTAGTACGAATGGAAGCAAATATACGAGCCCTAGGTTTTTATTGCAAATAAGATAAAAGCGCAATCACAGGGACAGCTGTTGTAGTAGTCTGAGCTTTCTGACGCGTACAGGAGGCCATCTTCAGAGACACTGAAAGTACAGCAAGAATTGGTGTGCTTTGAAGTCCATTTACGAGAAAATTTGTAGGGATGGGGAAGGTTATAGCCTTGAAACCTATCCTTAGGTATGCAACTGAGCCCCCTAGTAATTGACTCGCGAGGAAGAACGTGCGCTGCGGACGTGTCAGATCTCAGCCGGCAAGAATTTTTTTTCAGTGACGAATGCTATGGGAGGAACTGAGATCTGGATAGCTTGAATCTAGTGCGGACACGGATATAGTCTTCCATCCGTTTCTTTCTTTCAGCACTATCGCAAAGCCAAATTGATTAGTTGTAACTGCACTCTTACTGTTGATTAAATTTGATTGCCGTACTATTCGAAGGCCCAGACAGATAAAACTCGTTTTAACGATCGCATGTTGTTCATTCATGTTCATGTTGTTCATTAGGACTCGCATGGAGACCTCTACTTAGAAGAATAAATGCGCAGAAAATTATTGGTTTTATTTGCATATAGAAAATTGTTTATCTTGATACCAAACTCTGGCTCTATATTATCATAGCAGACGGCGAGCTTTTTGATTTATGTTTAGTTTTAACAAAAGACAACTGAGATAGGTTGATTTGGGTGGCTTTTGGAAGTAAATATGACTAAAGTCCACTCTTGTCTTCTTTGCTGGTTATGGGCTTCAGGTTAACTGCGTATTCTCCACTTTTTGTAACAGGACAAACCGTTTGTGATGTACAAGGGTCCACTCTTGGCTACCGGTGAGAAGTCAATAGACCCAAAAGATTGGCATGGCTTTTGCATAGATCTCCTCAACGAATGCGCTGCAGCCCTTCAATTCAACTACACTGTCCACCCAGTTGCCGACGGTACCTACGGCAGTGCCACAATAATTAATGGCATCGAGGTCTGGGATGGCATAATTGGAGAGCTTCAGTTTAAGGTGAGGCACAAACACAAATTTAGGAAGGGTGGACTGCCTCTTCACTTATCCAATGGGTTTTTACTGGAATTGCATTTCATAATTTTCCAAAATCATTAGACTTTTGAATCGCTAAATGTCGCTGGGGTGCAATTAAAGACTGCATCCCCGTCGTTTCATTTTATTCTTAAATTGCCCAAGTGGCACTTCGGAATCTAATGACTTCCAGATCGGTCTGTTTGTTTACCGATCGGCAGAGCAGCCCCTTTATTTCTTAATGCATATAACGTCCAAATAAAACGGATTTTTCGCGCGTTAAAATGCCACGAGATTTTATCAAAAATGCAAGCGAGGGCCTATTGTGGGCTTCCGGTAGACAAAATATCACACAACACACCACTGGTCCTATGTATTTACTCTGTCTTCGGACGTCTTCAGTAGTAATAAAGTCTCCGGCTAGTTTTCATCGGAGCGTGGACAACTTTGCAAATGAAGTTTTACTTGGTGACCCTGAAACCTAATAGTGCTTGACCTCCATGCCTTATGTGATTGCTACTTCGAGTAGGAGTCGTGGTTAAATGCTCCATATTAAAAAGAGGCTCTCGTAACAGTCCACCTTTCCACTGACCTTATATCTTAGCAATTACTGTTAGTCATAACTAGTCCACTGGTGTAACCTGAGGGTATTTTATGATCATCCTTTTCCGTGTGTTGGCATACTTTGTTGTACTTTAACGAACTTAGAAAATCAGTTCACTGAGTCACTTTTTTCGCTCATCTTGACGCAATTGCCCAAGAACTTCAGGTATGAAAGCTTTTTCCTCCCCTCTCCTGCAGAAAGCTGACCTTGCGGTTGCCATGCTTACCATCAACTACGAGCGTGAGAGGGTAATTGACTTCACAACTCCATTCATGAATCTTGGTGTGAGTATCATCTTCAAGAAACCGCAGGGAAAGCAACCTGATCTATTTGCCTTCCTTCGTCCGCTATCACCTACCGTAAGTTGAACAAATCCGAAACAGTGATTAGTGTAACCTCGGGTTTCGAAGTCTGCTTTGAGCACCGAAACAGGGGGCCTTTCATAAAAGCCTTGGTTTGTGTTTGGGTCTTGGTAATCCGGTGACGTCCAAATTTTCTGTCAAAAATTGCAACATTTATCAACTGCTATGCAGAAGTATCTTAAATAGTAGTCCTTGCAAAGCCGGGCTGTAGGACAATGTAGCAAATCGGCTGACTGGTATAATATCGCGTAGACAGGCGCCTAGAGAATGGTTTCGTGAAAAAATGTATCCTTGAATAAAGGCATATTTTAAGAATTTTGATTGCAGTTGATGCCATATGCACTTTGCAGAAGCCTCAAGTTACGCATGCTGTGCTTATAATTACAAGGTGCGTTTTGTAAAATGTCGCATCGCCCGAATTTAAGATACTGTTTGAGACGTCAAATTGATATGTCGCCCCACTTAGTCGTTGCCTTATGGAATACGAATTTATGCATACTAATTTGGCCGAGGATGTTACTTTAGGTTCCCCATGGTAAGATTGTATGCAGCTAGGCGTTCAGTACTCCATCACCTTCTCCTTCCTCCACTGATTTACGATTAAAGTTAGTATTCGGCTTATGCTTACGTTTACGGGACTTAGAGTTACAGTTAGTGCTTATGGTTAAGCAGTTATGGTTTGGGTTAGAATTTAAATTTGTAGTTGGATAAGGGGTTTGGTGTCAGGATTGTGAGTAAGAGTCAGGTATCTAGGGTCAGCGCTGTAATATTAGCTCCGCGGATTACAATTAGCTCACGAAGGCACGTACAATACCTCATATGCTGACCGCAAACTTGTATTTACTGCTTTTCTGAATGCATGTACCTTACCGTGCCTTCATTTTAATTTTCTGTAAGTCGTTTTGTGTTCGTTCTGTGTCCGTTTTGTTTTTAAGAAATTAGGTTTTTAATTACTTGATGTTTCAGTCATGTTAAAATGGACCTGAGCTTAAGATCTGTCTGTGATTAGGCTTATCAGCCAATTCCGTTTTTAATATTTTCTAAAGTACGGAACCGCGTGTATGGCTCATTTGTGTACTTAAACAAAGCAGTGACTTGAATGCCATTTTGGTATTCTTTCTTTACGGAGGATTCTGCCTACCGCTTACTTCAGCCCCACCTATGAAACCCTTATACGCATTATTCTTGATTACGGAGTCTATTTTCTCGCTAACTGAGTTGGGCCTTATCGTATGCCGAGATATGGTGACAATTCAAGACTGGGCTGGTTCTTTGAAAACATATGTTAAGAGGCTACAAAAGGCCAAGGCTATAGCCAGCATCGTTTTTTTATCCCCGACGTAGAAGCTTAAACTCTGACGCGAGAAATCTAAAACCAGGTCATTTACCTTACCTTTGCTATAGATGACGAAGATTTAGTGATAGCAGCCTTATCAAATCTCGCGAGTTCCTTCGTGTTTAAAATCAGCAAAGGCATTCTGGTTTCTTTACAATGACCACACAAAAAAGCATTTTCAACAGCCAAAGGTTGTCCGAGATGTCGGCCTTTGCAGGAGAGCGCAGGCTATCATTAAAGAGCCGATGAGAGCTATTGTCAAAGAGTTCTACGTTTTTTTGAAATCGAAAGTCAAACCTCTGATCTGCGAAGACAGCAGACTAACTCCTATGTTATGTGAAGACGATAGTTTATGGTCAGTAGAACCCCCAGATAACTGTGCGATCCGGTGAAACGCCTGTTGAAGAAAATCAGGCAGACTGAGAAACTCAGGTTGCCCTGTTTCGTCTCAGATTAAAATAATGTTGGTCAGAATAAAAAATGAACGGGAGGACAGTCCAGAACCTCTATTCCAGCGGCACTCAGGTCCGCAGTATTATGTATAGCAACTAAGCCTCGTCAGTAATGATATTGCGTGTGTTAGCCACGATTGTGCAGCTCTGAATTTATTCAGTGGCTGGAAATCCCGTACTTATGTATTCCAAAAACAATCTGCTCCTTCTCACATTGCCTTCATCACGCAGGAATGACTAGCCAAAAATTTTCACGAGTATGTTACTCTTGACACTTAACTTCCAAGTGCAATTAGTTGAAAACCCTGGAATGTCATTTCTAGGGCATAAATGGGATGGAGTTCAGAAACAGCGTGCTAACAGTACAAAGGACTCATTGAACAGGGCTATCGGGAACGGTACGCTAACTCTGTATAAAAACCGCCGATCCGGGTCTGTAGTCATTTCGGAAGCTGCGTTGAGTTCTTGAGTGTGGCTGAGGACGGATTTTCAGATGCCAGTTTGTGACGTGTGCAGACACAAGTTTGGGTAGGACACGCGAATAGGAACACCCATAATTCAGATGGACCTGAGCTAAATCCCACATAGGTACGGGTTCTTAGTAAGGTAGGCTTGGAGTTAAAGTTAGGTCAACGGTTCAAGCCAGTATTAGGTTTGCGTTAACGTTTGGCTCCGGGCTGACTATTGATGTTAGGATTTTGACGCGTTAACGATCACGCATTTTATAAATTAGAGCACAGCCACCTGTCTTATCGAGGGATTGTTCCTATTCTGTGCCTAAGCTCAGTGTATTTTATCCTTCTAAGGCAAATTGGTCCTCTGCTGAGTCGTTGTGTTTTCCCAGCGTGATGTCATATTCTCCATTAGTTGACCCGCATTGTACAAATTATTTGAGATACATCTGCGCCGACTTTGGTTAGGCAATTTTCACATGGTCTGTGGGTATATAATATGCCTCTCTTTTGTGTTTTTTTTCTAGCTTTTGTTGGGGTTGTATACCTACACCGCATATACCATCCTTCATTTTTAGGTTTGGGGCTACGTTTTAATTGCTTACGTTGGCGTCAGCATGGCGTTATTCTTCGTTGGCCGATTCAGTCCCTATGAGTGGCATAACCCGCATCCATGCAACGTGGATTCTGAACTTTTGGAAAATACCTTTAATATGCTTAACAGCCTGTGGTTTACAATCGGCTCTTTGATGCAACAAGGTAGCCATTCAAGCTTTGTGTGTACCTAACCTTGTTAGAATATATTTTCATAATCGTCTACTGATATTTTACAAGTAGGTCCATTTACAACAAATCACCTTAACGATTTCGCTCTTGTATGTTTGCAGGTTCAGATATTCTGCCACGAGCTACGTCAACGCGGATAGTCTCGGGATTTTGGTGGTTCTTCACCCTCATTATAATTTCCTCCTACACGGCCAACTTGGCTGCATTTCTCACAGTGGAGAGAATGAAGGTGCCCATTGAAGACGTCAATGACCTCGCCAAACAAACCAAAATCAAATATGGAACTCGTGACGGTGGATCATCGGCTGCGTTTTTCGAGGTGGGCAGCACTGTTGCGACTGTTCTTCTCGTTCATTGTAGGTTTAAATGTAAAACTTAAGCACGGTAATGTACCTAAAAGTATGCGCAGGGGTTACTATTGCGGCCAATGTAATCTCTACTTGAT